ATCAATGGTCTACCATGCCGTTTGAGCTGCCCGAATCTTTTATACGCTGACGACCTGAAGATATGGAGGCCGATATTGTCCAGAGGACTCAGATAGGCTGCAGGAAGATCTAAACCTTCTGTAGGATTATTTTTGTCCTACAGATTTAGTCCCTCCTCAATACTGACGATACAGAGTCTCGGCTTAGCTATAGTTAAAAACAGGATGACTTGACTTAACTTTATCTGTTTCTAAAACATAAAATAAATCATACAATTATACCAAGAAAAATGTACAGATCGACTGTCATTACAAAAATAGGATAAAAACGTACCGAACAGTATTGAAGGTACGGACAAAATGAACAGTCAATTAATTACATGTATATACAAGTAAAGTGACAGACAAAAAAGAACATTCAAGGTCATCACGTGGTGAGAGTTACAATAAATTGGCCAATAATCGCGACAAGAAAGGTCACATAATATTGATTGGCTGTTTATCATACAGTCTATCTATCTGTCGCGATTAACACTCCCCGCGAACGACCACCACGTTGACCTTTCGTACGCTTCTTATATCTTGTTCCACTTCTTGAGTTGAAGTTTTCAAACACAGTGTCCTGACGTGGCCATCTTGGTCATAGTACATCTGCTTAACTATAGCCTTTCGCCAGAGACCTCTCTGTGTGTCAGCACTGTTAACCAAGACGAGATCATCAGGTTGTAGGTTGTGCTTTATATCCAACCACCTAGATCTTGTTTGCAGCATCAGAAGATATCCACGTAGCCATTTATGCCAGAGCAAATCAGTCAAATATTCTGGAAGTAGTTGACTATAGTGTTGGGAGAAAGCATATCCATACATAGCATTCGCTTTACCTTTGTAATATTGTAATTTTCGTAAGAATTCACCAATTGCTGAACGAGCCGCAGTTAAGGGCCTTTTTGGAGCTAAGGAAATACACAAATCAGATGCATCGTCCTCACCGACTACTTTATGCGTACGTCCCATAGAATCGTCAGCTTCAATCAAAACTCGCAGAATCGCATAACGAGCACAATAATGTGCTTGACGCCATGATCCAATGTCATCAGCATTTTCTCCTGCAGAATAAAACTCCATGGAAGTTACAGCTGAAGGAGACATTGACAACCAATTAATATAGACTACATCTGAGACATTGCCTAGAGCACAGTTGGTATTCAGACCGAACTGCTCAAGAACAAGAGGTAAATTAGATAAATAAATTCCAACGCACTCGGCTTGACACTTGTCTATTGCAGATGAAAGGTTTGAAAACTTGCTGTCATACGTTTCTCCTGCTTCACACCAACCTTTTACAGGATATGCATTTATGACATATTCAGTAGCTTTCGTGTGGAAATTTCGTTTTCCATAACAAGCACGCCGAAACAGTTTACCAGAACTATATCCCATCAGTTCATGAAGTTCAACTTGTAATTCAAAGGAACTTTCAGCACGTTCCACGTACATCTGTTTGTCTTCATTACGTAGAAATTCTGTTTTGGGACCGTTGAAACGAACACTAAGTACATCATCCAAAGAAACATTTTTAAATCCATCAACTTGTCGTACATCATCATAGTTAGGAACATTAGTTCCAACAGGAATTCCAGCATTTGCAAACGTCACTACATCTAAACTAGTAAAGTCTGGCTGTAAGAAATTAACTTTTTCAAACGTAGAAGGCCATGGTAAACTTGTTAACAACCTTTCAGCATTATTCACAAGTCGTTGGAATCTTTTAGACACTGATCTATTTACAACAGCGACAAATGATTCAAACCTTGCACGAACACCAAAGGGATCACGGTATGACTCTATAAACCCAATATACTTTTCAACAACAGGGTTCTTATCTTTAACCCATAACCTGAAGGCATCTTTGTGAGTGGCTACTGAGCTAGTAGTGAAGCTTTCAGCATACTGATGACACATTTCTGATTCAATTTGGTTAAGCGAATGTGCTTTAAAATCTTTACAACAATCGACTAGTAACTTCATCAGCTCACTATAGTCACCATATTCAAGCTGCAAAGATGTGTCTGAGGGAAGGGAATCTCTTAACTTCTCACGACGTTGACTTAGAGGGATTTGCAGGTCATGGTAACGTTGGGCTAACTGTCTTTGTTCTTCTTGGATAATAGGAGCGTCGAAATGACTTTCTGCAGCAAGCGTGTCAGCCTGGACTTCGAATGTATCTATACGTTCACGATGAGTAACTACATCAAATTCAAGCAAGTTGTGTCGCTTTTGTACGTTCATCACACCGGTTAGATCATGACCGACATCCTCTGAGGCTATCTGAGCTTCAACATCATTCGACCATAACTCGACATCCAAGTTGCGAGCGAACTGTTGTTGCCTACTTGCTTGATCTAAATTTTTCTTCTTGTCTCCCATGGCATTTACGAGATGAGACCAAGTTTCATCCAACTGTTCAATCTTTACTTTTATTTCTGGCGAGTTGTAGTGGTTTGCATTTAACAAATCCTGACCTGTCTTTTTAATATCTTCAACGCGGGATTGGTTCGCTTGTATTTCTACCTCAAAACTCTGATGCTTCTGCACCTTTGTTTGCAAATTCGTGGAGTCTTTGTAACTTTCATCAAGTGCATTTTTAAGTCTTCCTGATATCCATGACTGCATTTCGTCTGCATCTCTATCGAACATTTGGTAATGGTGGGAATCTTGAAGACGCTGACGGCGGTTCTGAGCTTTCTCCTTTAATGCATTTCGTCTATTTTGAAGACCTTTCTGAATCTCATGAACCTGTGCAGCCGCATAGTGGTTTGATTCGATTGATTTTGCAGCGAATTCATCAAGTCGTCGCATCTTTTCTTCTTGTGCTAGAAGCGACTTTTCGAAGTCTTCATGTTTCCTTATGAGTGCTTCGACAGAATCGAGTGAGTCTCCCACATCTTTTATTTCTAAGAGGGCCTCTTGCTTACCAATCCAAGATTCCGACTGTTCAGCGTCGCGGTAAAAATACTGAAGGCCCATACACTGTTCTAGCTGTTCACGTCTTTCCTCACACAACTGCATCAGGGAGGCTCTCTCTCTTTCAAGGGTGGAAAGTTTAGCAGCTATGTCTCCATTACAGGGAAGGCCAACACTTAGTAATGCCTGACCTTCTTGCATGCATGTATTGAAACTGTCGGCTCGAGAATTTATCTCAGCGGTGTATTCCTCATGTCGTTCTACTTGGGCTTCAGCACCAGCTACATCCTTTGCCAAATCATCCGCCGATATTAACGTCTTCATGTCATTCATCCAGATACTCAAGTCTCTTCAGTCAGCCAAAAAACGATGCATCTTGAATGACTCTTCCAGTTTACTTTTCCTATCTACAGCCTGACTTTTCAGCTTATCCCATGCAGTGATTAATTCCTCATACTTGCCTTGTATAGTGTCTTGCAAATCAGGATGCTTCTGTGCAAGCGCCTTAGCATCATCTCCAAGTTGAACAATCTTTTCATCTGTGTCAGTCAAATCCCTTTCTAATGCTTCGTGCTTCATTTGTAAGGCTTGGACTGAGGCAAGATCACGACCACAGTCCTCAATGGATAAAGGAATGGACTTTTCATTCACCCACGATATAGCTTTATCTGTGTCTCTAAAGAAGCACTGTATCTCATAGGCTTCCAGGAGCTTTTCTTGTCGTTTTCTAGTCAGACCCTTCAGACGTTCTAGAGCTTTGCGGACCTCTCTGGACTTTTCTATGACTAGGGCATCCTCAGGAAATTCCTCTTTTAGAAATTCATCTGCCTTCCGATAGATGTCTTCGGCACGACTTTCTTGATACTCGAGATCCTTTGTAAACTCATTAAACCCTTTTTGAAGTGTCTCAACATCTTCCAAGTCTTGACCTAAATCCTCTGATGTTACGAAAGTTTCGTTTTCACGTATCCAGAAAAGTATCTCGTCGACTTGGCGTAAAAACTGGACAAATTTAAGCTTTAGGTTAATGACACTGGATTTTTCTCTGAAAATAGCCATAAGCCTTTCCCACAGGGCATGCAATTCATCAAGACGGTTTTTGATAATATCTGTTGCGTAGTACCCCTGACCAATCATTTCTTCTCCCGTAGAATCTAGAGCTGAGAGTGTTTCAGCATGAACTGTTACTTCGAGCTCAAACTCTTGATATTTCTGTTTTTTCAGCTGAAGATTACTGAGTTCTTTAAAATCCTCATTCGTATATGTTTGCAGTTTTTCATTGATCCAACACTCAAGTTCATCGGCATTCCACTTAAAATATTGATATCCTTTAAGCATGTCCAGAAACTTAGATATGGTTCTGGCGGACTCATCATTAAGAGATACAGCGACTTTATGGGAAGTAGAAGGTTTGTAAGGCGATTTATTGTGACAAGAACATTCGCGACTACCTTGTCGTAATCTTTCTAATTCCATTTCTTTCTCTTTTTGGACTATGCGCAATTTCGCTAGCTCCAATTCTATCATATAGCGTGATTTATTCTCGTTGCTTCCAGTGAAATCAGCTTCATTACTCTTTTCTAACTGTGGAGTTAACGACGGCATAGTTTCATAACTTTCGTCTGCCATACTGTTCGAAACTTTCGTCTGCAATTACTGTTCGAAACTTTGTAGGATTATTTTTGTCCTACAGATTTAGTCCCTCCTCAATACTGACGATACAGAGTCTCGGCTTAGCTATAGTTAAAAACAGGATGACTTGACTTAACTTTATCTGTTTCTAAAACATAAAATAAATCATACAATTATACCAAGAAAAATGTACAAATCGACTGTCATTACAAAAATAGGATAAAAACGTACCGAACAGTATTGAAGGTACGGACAAAATGAACAGTCAATTAATTACATGTATATACAAGTAAAGTGACAGACAAAAAAGAACATTCAAGGTCATCACGTGGTGAGAGTTACAATAAATTGGCCAATAATCGCGACAAGAAAGGTCACATAATATTGATTGGCTGTTTATCATACAGTCTATCTATCTGTCGCGATTAACACTCCCCGCGAACGACCACCACGTTGACCTTTCGTACGCTTCTTATATCTTGTTCCACTTCTTGAGTTGAAGTTTTCAAACACAGTGTCCTGACGTGGCCATCTTGGTCATAGTACATCTGCTTAACTATAGCCTTTCGCCAGAGACCTCTCTGTGTGTCAGCACTGTTAACCAAGACGAGATCATCAGGTTGTAGGTTGTGCTTTATATCCAACCACCTAGATCTTGTTTGCAGCATCAGAAGATATCCACGTAGCCATTTATGCCAGAGCAAATCAGTCAAATATTCTGGAAGTAGTTGACTATAGTGTTGGGAGAAAGCATATCCATACATAGCATTCGCTTTACCTTTGTAATATTGTAATTTTCGTAAGAATTCACCAATTGCTGAACGAGCCGCAGTTAAGGGCCTTTTTGGAGCTAAGGAAATACACAAATCAGATGCATCGTCCTCACCGACTACTTTATGCGTACGTCCCATAGAATCGTCAGCTTCAATCAAAACTCGCAGAATCGCATAACGAGCACAATAATGTGCTTGACGCCATGATCCAATGTCATCAGCATTTTCTCCTGCAGAATAAAACTCCATGGAAGTTACAGCTGAAGGAGACATTGACAACCAATTAATATAGACTACATCTGAGACATTGCCTAGAGCACAGTTGGTATTCAGACCGAACTGCTCAAGAACAAGAGGTAAATTAGATAAATAAATTCCAACGCACTCGGCTTGACACTTGTCTATTGCAGATGAAAGGTTTGAAAACTTGCTGTCATACGTTTCTCCTGCTTCACACCAACCTTTTACAGGATATGCATTTATGACATATTCAGTAGCTTTCGTGTGGAAATTTCGTTTTCCATAACAAGCACGCCGAAACAGTTTACCAGAACTATATCCCATCAGTTCATGAAGTTCAACTTGTAATTCAAAGGAACTTTCAGCACGTTCCACGTACATCTGTTTGTCTTCATTACGTAGAAATTCTGTTTTGGGACCGTTGAAACGAACACTAAGTACATCATCCAAAGAAACATTTTTAAATCCATCAACTTGTCGTACATCATCATAGTTAGGAACATTAGTTCCAACAGGAATTCCAGCATTTGCAAACGTCACTACATCTAAACTAGTAAAGTCTGGCTGTAAGAAATTAACTTTTTCAAACGTAGAAGGCCATGGTAAACTTGTTAACAACCTTTCAGCATTATTCACAAGTCGTTGGAATCTTTTAGACACTGATCTATTTACAACAGCGACAAATGATTCAAACCTTGCACGAACACCAAAGGGATCACGGTATGACTCTATAAACCCAATATACTTTTCAACAACAGGGTTCTTATCTTTAACCCATAACCTGAAGGCATCTTTGTGAGTGGCTACTGAGCTAGTAGTGAAGCTTTCAGCATACTGATGACACATTTCTGATTCAATTTGGTTAAGCGAATGTGCTTTAAAATCTTTACAACAATCGACTAGTAACTTCATCAGCTCACTATAGTCACCATATTCAAGCTGCAAAGATGTGTCTGAGGGAAGGGAATCTCTTAACTTCTCACGACGTTGACTTAGAGGGATTTGCAGGTCATGGTAACGTTGGGCTAACTGTCTTTGTTCTTCTTGGATAATAGGAGCGTCGAAATGACTTTCTGCAGCAAGCGTGTCAGCCTGGACTTCGAATGTATCTATACGTTCACGATGAGTAACTACATCAAATTCAAGCAAGTTGTGTCGCTTTTGTACGTTCATCACACCGGTTAGATCATGACCGACATCCTCTGAGGCTATCTGAGCTTCAACATCATTCGACCATAACTCGACATCCAAGTTGCGAGCGAACTGTTGTTGCCTACTTGCTTGATCTAAATTTTTCTTCTTGTCTCCCATGGCATTTACGAGATGAGACCAAGTTTCATCCAACTGTTCAATCTTTACTTTTATTTCTGGCGAGTTGTAGTGGTTTGCATTTAACAAATCCTGACCTGTCTTTTTAATATCTTCAACGCGGGATTGGTTCGCTTGTATTTCTACCTCAAAACTCTGATGCTTCTGCACCTTTGTTTGCAAATTCGTGGAGTCTTTGTAACTTTCATCAAGTGCATTTTTAAGTCTTCCTGATATCCATGACTGCATTTCGTCTGCATCTCTATCGAACATTTGGTAATGGTGGGAATCTTGAAGACGCTGACGGCGGTTCTGAGCTTTCTCCTTTAATGCATTTCGTCTATTTTGAAGACCTTTCTGAATCTCATGAACCTGTGCAGCCGCATAGTGGTTTGATTCGATTGATTTTGCAGCGAATTCATCAAGTCGTCGCATCTTTTCTTCTTGTGCTAGAAGCGACTTTTCGAAGTCTTCATGTTTCCTTATGAGTGCTTCGACAGAATCGAGTGAGTCTCCCACATCTTTTATTTCTAAGAGGGCCTCTTGCTTACCAATCCAAGATTCCGACTGTTCAGCGTCGCGGTAAAAATACTGAAGGCCCATACACTGTTCTAGCTGTTCACGTCTTTCCTCACACAACTGCATCAGGGAGGCTCTCTCTCTTTCAAGGGTGGAAAGTTTAGCAGCTATGTCTCCATTACAGGGAAGGCCAACACTTAGTAATGCCTGACCTTCTTGCATGCATGTATTGAAACTGTCGGCTCGAGAATTTATCTCAGCGGTGTATTCCTCATGTCGTTCTACTTGGGCTTCAGCACCAGCTACATCCTTTGCCAAATCATCCGCCGATATTAACGTCTTCATGTCATTCATCCAGATACTCAAGTCTCTTCAGTCAGCCAAAAAACGATGCATCTTGAATGACTCTTCCAGTTTACTTTTCCTATCTACAGCCTGACTTTTCAGCTTATCCCATGCAGTGATTAATTCCTCATACTTGCCTTGTATAGTGTCTTGCAAATCAGGATGCTTCTGTGCAAGCGCCTTAGCATCATCTCCAAGTTGAACAATCTTTTCATCTGTGTCAGTCAAATCCCTTTCTAATGCTTCGTGCTTCATTTGTAAGGCTTGGACTGAGGCAAGATCACGACCACAGTCCTCAATGGATAAAGGAATGGACTTTTCATTCACCCACGATATAGCTTTATCTGTGTCTCTAAAGAAGCACTGTATCTCATAGGCTTCCAGGAGCTTTTCTTGTCGTTTTCTAGTCAGACCCTTCAGACGTTCTAGAGCTTTGCGGACCTCTCTGGACTTTTCTATGACTAGGGCATCCTCAGGAAATTCCTCTTTTAGAAATTCATCTGCCTTCCGATAGATGTCTTCGGCACGACTTTCTTGATACTCGAGATCCTTTGTAAACTCATTAAACCCTTTTTGAAGTGTCTCAACATCTTCCAAGTCTTGACCTAAATCCTCTGATGTTACGAAAGTTTCGTTTTCACGTATCCAGAAAAGTATCTCGTCGACTTGGCGTAAAAACTGGACAAATTTAAGCTTTAGGTTAATGACACTGGATTTTTCTCTGAAAATAGCCATAAGCCTTTCCCACAGGGCATGCAATTCATCAAGACGGTTTTTGATAATATCTGTTGCGTAGTACCCCTGACCAATCATTTCTTCTCCCGTAGAATCTAGAGCTGAGAGTGTTTCAGCATGAACTGTTACTTCGAGCTCAAACTCTTGATATTTCTGTTTTTTCAGCTGAAGATTACTGAGTTCTTTAAAATCCTCATTCGTATATGTTTGCAGTTTTTCATTGATCCAACACTCAAGTTCATCGGCATTCCACTTAAAATATTGATATCCTTTAAGCATGTCCAGAAACTTAGATATGGTTCTGGCGGACTCATCATTAAGAGATACAGCGACTTTATGGGAAGTAGAAGGTTTGTAAGGCGATTTATTGTGACAAGAACATTCGCGACTACCTTGTCGTAATCTTTCTAATTCCATTTCTTTCTCTTTTTGGACTATGCGCAATTTCGCTAGCTCCAATTCTATCATATAGCGTGATTTATTCTCGTTGCTTCCAGTGAAATCAGCTTCATTACTCTTTTCTAACTGTGGAGTTAACGACGGCATAGTTTCATAACTTTCGTCTGCCATACTGTTCGAAACTTTCGTCTGCAATTACTGTTCGAAACTTTGTAGGATTATTTTTGTCCTACAGATTTAGTCCCTCCTCAATACTGACGATACAGAGTCTCGGCTTAGCTATAGTTAAAAACAGGATGACTTGACTTAACTTTATCTGTTTCTAAAACATAAAATAAATCATACAATTATACCAAGAAAAATGTACAAATCGACTGTCATTACAAAAATAGGATAAAAACGTACCGAACAGTATTGAAGGTACGGACAAAATGAACAGTCAATTAATTACATGTATATACAAGTAAAGTGACAGACAAAAAAGAACATTCAAGGTCATCACGTGGTGAGAGTTACAATAAATTGGCCAATAATCGCGACAAGAAAGGTCACATAATATTGATTGGCTGTTTATCATACAGTCTATCTATCTGTCGCGATTAACACTCCCCGCGAACGACCACCACGTTGACCTTTCGTACGCTTCTTATATCTTGTTCCACTTCTTGAGTTGAAGTTTTCAAACACAGTGTCCTGACGTGGCCATCTTGGTCATAGTACATCTGCTTAACTATAGCCTTTCGCCAGAGACCTCTCTGTGTGTCAGCACTGTTAACCAAGACGAGATCATCAGGTTGTAGGTTGTGCTTTATATCCAACCACCTAGATCTTGTTTGCAGCATCAGAAGATATCCACGTAGCCATTTATGCCAGAGCAAATCAGTCAAATATTCTGGAAGTAGTTGACTATAGTGTTGGGAGAAAGCATATCCATACATAGCATTCGCTTTACCTTTGTAATATTGTAATTTTCGTAAGAATTCACCAATTGCTGAACGAGCCGCAGTTAAGGGCCTTTTTGGAGCTAAGGAAATACACAAATCAGATGCATCGTCCTCACCGACTACTTTATGCGTACGTCCCATAGAATCGTCAGCTTCAATCAAAACTCGCAGAATCGCATAACGAGCACAATAATGTGCTTGACGCCATGATCCAATGTCATCAGCATTTTCTCCTGCAGAATAAAACTCCATGGAAGTTACAGCTGAAGGAGACATTGACAACCAATTAATATAGACTACATCTGAGACATTGCCTAGAGCACAGTTGGTATTCAGACCGAACTGCTCAAGAACAAGAGGTAAATTAGATAAATAAATTCCAACGCACTCGGCTTGACACTTGTCTATTGCAGATGAAAGGTTTGAAAACTTGCTGTCATACGTTTCTCCTGCTTCACACCAACCTTTTACAGGATATGCATTTATGACATATTCAGTAGCTTTCGTGTGGAAATTTCGTTTTCCATAACAAGCACGCCGAAACAGTTTACCAGAACTATATCCCATCAGTTCATGAAGTTCAACTTGTAATTCAAAGGAACTTTCAGCACGTTCCACGTACATCTGTTTGTCTTCATTACGTAGAAATTCTGTTTTGGGACCGTTGAAACGAACACTAAGTACATCATCCAAAGAAACATTTTTAAATCCATCAACTTGTCGTACATCATCATAGTTAGGAACATTAGTTCCAACAGGAATTCCAGCATTTGCAAACGTCACTACATCTAAACTAGTAAAGTCTGGCTGTAAGAAATTAACTTTTTCAAACGTAGAAGGCCATGGTAAACTTGTTAACAACCTTTCAGCATTATTCACAAGTCGTTGGAATCTTTTAGACACTGATCTATTTACAACAGCGACAAATGATTCAAACCTTGCACGAACACCAAAGGGATCACGGTATGACTCTATAAACCCAATATACTTTTCAACAACAGGGTTCTTATCTTTAACCCATAACCTGAAGGCATCTTTGTGAGTGGCTACTGAGCTAGTAGTGAAGCTTTCAGCATACTGATGACACATTTCTGATTCAATTTGGTTAAGCGAATGTGCTTTAAAATCTTTACAACAATCGACTAGTAACTTCATCAGCTCACTATAGTCACCATATTCAAGCTGCAAAGATGTGTCTGAGGGAAGGGAATCTCTTAACTTCTCACGACGTTGACTTAGAGGGATTTGCAGGTCATGGTAACGTTGGGCTAACTGTCTTTGTTCTTCTTGGATAATAGGAGCGTCGAAATGACTTTCTGCAGCAAGCGTGTCAGCCTGGACTTCGAATGTATCTATACGTTCACGATGAGTAACTACATCAAATTCAAGCAAGTTGTGTCGCTTTTGTACGTTCATCACACCGGTTAGATCATGACCGACATCCTCTGAGGCTATCTGAGCTTCAACATCATTCGACCATAACTCGACATCCAAGTTGCGAGCGAACTGTTGTTGCCTACTTGCTTGATCTAAATTTTTCTTCTTGTCTCCCATGGCATTTACGAGATGAGACCAAGTTTCATCCAACTGTTCAATCTTTACTTTTATTTCTGGCGAGTTGTAGTGGTTTGCATTTAACAAATCCTGACCTGTCTTTTTAATATCTTCAACGCGGGATTGGTTCGCTTGTATTTCTACCTCAAAACTCTGATGCTTCTGCACCTTTGTTTGCAAATTCGTGGAGTCTTTGTAACTTTCATCAAGTGCATTTTTAAGTCTTCCTGATATCCATGACTGCATTTCGTCTGCATCTCTATCGAACATTTGGTAATGGTGGGAATCTTGAAGACGCTGACGGCGGTTCTGAGCTTTCTCCTTTAATGCATTTCGTCTATTTTGAAGACCTTTCTGAATCTCATGAACCTGTGCAGCCGCATAGTGGTTTGATTCGATTGATTTTGCAGCGAATTCATCAAGTCGTCGCATCTTTTCTTCTTGTGCTAGAAGCGACTTTTCGAAGTCTTCATGTTTCCTTATGAGTGCTTCGACAGAATCGAGTGAGTCTCCCACATCTTTTATTTCTAAGAGGGCCTCTTGCTTACCAATCCAAGATTCCGACTGTTCAGCGTCGCGGTAAAAATACTGAAGGCCCATACACTGTTCTAGCTGTTCACGTCTTTCCTCACACAACTGCATCAGGGAGGCTCTCTCTCTTTCAAGGGTGGAAAGTTTAGCAGCTATGTCTCCATTACAGGGAAGGCCAACACTTAGTAATGCCTGACCTTCTTGCATGCATGTATTGAAACTGTCGGCTCGAGAATTTATCTCAGCGGTGTATTCCTCATGTCGTTCTACTTGGGCTTCAGCACCAGCTACATCCTTTGCCAAATCATCCGCCGATATTAACGTCTTCATGTCATTCATCCAGATACTCAAGTCTCTCCAGTCAGCCAAAAAACGATGCATCTTGAATGACTCTTCCAGTTTACTTTTCCTATCTACAGCCTGACTTTTCAGCTTATCCCATGCAGTGATTAATTCCTCATACTTGCCTTGTATAGTGTCTTGCAAATCAGGATGCTTCTGTGCAAGCGCCTTAGCATCATCTCCAAGTTGAACAATCTTTTCATCTGTGTCAGTCAAATCCCTTTCTAATGCTTCGTGCTTCATTTGTAAGGCTTGGACTGAGGCAAGATCACGACCACAGTCCTCAATGGATAAAGGAATGGACTTTTCATTCACCCACGATATAGCTTTATCTGTGTCTCTAAAGAAGCACTGTATCTCATAGGCTTCCAGGAGCTTTTCTTGTCGTTTTCTAGTCAGACCCTTCAGACGTTCTAGAGCTTTGCGGACCTCTCTGGACTTTTCTATGACTAGGGCATCCTCAGGAAATTCCTCTTTTAGAAATTCATCTGCCTTCCGATAGATGTCTTCGGCACGACTTTCTTGATACTCGAGATCCTTTGTAAACTCATTAAACCCTTTTTGAAGTGTCTCAACATCTTCCAAGTCTTGACCTAAATCCTCTGATGTTACGAAAGTTTCGTTTTCACGTATCCAGAAAAGTATCTCGTCGACTTGGCGTAAAAACTGGACAAATTTAAGCTTTAGGTTAATGACACTGGATTTTTCTCTGAAAATAGCCATAAGCCTTTCCCACAGGGCATGCAATTCATCAAGACGGTTTTTGATAATATCTGTTGCGTAGTACCCCTGACCAATCATTTCTTCTCCCGTAGAATCTAGAGCTGAGAGTGTTTCAGCATGAACTGTTACTTCGAGCTCAAACTCTTGATATTTCTGTTTTTTCAGCTGAAGATTACTGAGTTCTTTAAAATCCTCATTCGTATATGTTTGCAGTTTTTCATTGATCCAACACTCAAGTTCATCGGCATTCCACTTAAAATATTGATATCCTTTAAGCATGTCCAGAAACTTAGATATGGTTCTGGCGGACTCATCATTAAGAGATACAGCGACTTTATGGGAAGTAGAAGGTTTGTAAGGCGATTTATTGTGACAAGAACATTCGCGACTACCTTGTCGTAATCTTTCTAATTCCATTTCTTTCTCTTTTTGGACTATGCGCAATTTCGCTAGCTCCAATTCTATCATATAGCGTGATTTATTCTCGTTGCTTCCAGTGAAATCAGCTTCATTACTCTTTTCTAACTGTGGAGTTAACGACGGCATAGTTTCATAACTTTCGTCTGCCATACTGTTCGAAACTTTCGTCTGCAATTACTGTTCGAAACTTTGTAGGATTATTTTTGTCCTACAGATTTAGTCCCTCCTCAATACTGACGATACAGAGTCTCGGCTTAGCTATAGTTAAAAACAGGATGACTTGACTTAACTTTATCTGTTTCTAAAACATAAAATAAATCATACAATTATACCAAGAAAAATGTACAGATCGACTGTCATTACAAAAATAGGATAAAAACGTACCGAACAGTATTGAAGGTACGGACAAAATGAACAGTCAATTAATTACATGTATATACAAGTAAAGTGACAGACAAAAAAGAACATTCAAGGTCATCACGTGGTGAGAGTTACAATAAATTGGCCAATAATCGCGACAAGAAAGGTCACATAATATTGATTGGCTGTTTATCATACAGTCTATCTATCTGTCGCGATTAACACCCTCTGGAAGACATGGTGGTGGCCAGTGGCATGACTTTCAATCTGAAAAAGTGCAGAGTAGTGAAGCTACGCACCTGTAGACTGCAGAATGCAAGTTACACCCTGTGCAATGAAAGCTTGTCCTGCTCAACGTCGGAACGCGACTTAGGTCTAGTTCTAACGGAAAAATGGACACAAGCGTAAATTATACGGGGGACTTAGCGAGCGCATATGCGGTCATACACTTTACACATAGACAGTTAAGTGCACTCACTCCTGAGCTCTTTCTCAGGTTGTACAAAACATACATCAGAACACACCTTGAAGTGCATAATATTATTGCACCCCCACTACTCAGAAGAGACGCCAACCTCTTGGAAAGAGTCCAAAGACGGGCAACAAAAGGATTGGTTGGTCTCCGAAATGAACCATATGATGAAAGGCTGAGAAAATTAGGCCTATTCACACTTAGTTACCATCGGCTTAGGGGGATTTAACTACTGCCTACAAAATAATAAACGACCAGAATCACCCAAACAAAGGTTTTCTGCCATTGAGTAGGTTTAGGCTCCTTCGTGGAAATTTCAGAAGGATAGCTCACAAGAGGGCAAGGACCCGGGTGCACTCCCACTTCTTTTTACCAGGGGTTTGCCGTCCCTGAAATTCCTTACTGGAAGATATAGCGATGGCACTGTCTGTGGACGCCTTTAAGCGAAGGCTGGACAATCATGCAGCGACGCAAGGACTGCTTCCAAATGGCCTATCCCCTTAAAATCCCATGCACCAGGGGTAGACAACTAAGTTCGTCGTTTTACTTCCTTACATTCTCTCCCGTCTTACTCTTCTGACAACTTTAACTACACCTATTATTATTATCATTATTACCGATATATATGTATATATATATATATATAATTCATATTATTCTTCAAATTTAATCAGCTGACTGTTGTTACGTTTTCTTTATTTCTTTTTCTGTCTGTTAGTCTGAATAACTTCACTAGTTATATCTATTATTATTAGCTCTTTTCTTTTGACGAAGATACCGGAGGACTTACTGGTGAAAGGATCAACTCCATTCACAGTAGTAACAGTCTTAACATACCTCATACTACAAACCACATGTAATTAATCCCTGCACTACTCCTTTTAGAGCCAACCAAAGCTACGACAGTCAAGTGGCGGGACGAGGTACGCGGAAGTTTACGGAAGATCAGGAACCTTTGCCTCACAGTCAAGAGGCGAGCACAAAGGAATCAAACTGGTTTTTACTAGCCCGCAAAAATGATATTGGATCTTGGACTTAACATATCGGAAAATTAGAGTTTCTAGCAATCTACAAAGAATATAAAACGATTTCATTAACAATTATTGAAGAAAAATTTTCCAAGTGAAATTTCAATCAACCTACAGAATAAGTCCAACCTGAAAATACGCTGACTTCGTTTACGCTATTGAAACGTAGTCTTCGTTAGCGCGACTGACAATTATGTTGTTACAATGTCAGCTGTTTTTCGTGGTTATTGGTGTTATCAATGAAGTTCAGTTCAGATAAAAGACAGATGTTTGTTTTTCGGAAATAAACTTGTGGAAAATTAAAAAGTTTGCTCAAGTAAGGGACATGCCCAACATTCAGAAAAAGTGTGAAATTTGTGGAGGGCAATTTACTGACAAGTCGAATTTGTCTTTCGAGGAAATGATTGCTAATTGGTTAGATGACAATCCCGAATTCGCCTTTAAGTATTTCGTCAAGTCTGCCTCTCCGAGTATGGTTGAGGCTTGGGCGAATGGACGAAATAATTGTGAAACGGAGTGTCTATTTGATAACTCTACGATCACTGCTATGGAGGAAGTACATAGGAAGAGCAACAATAAAAATGCGGCAAGCACTACTCCTTCATTGCCTTTACGTAAAATTAGTAGCCAAGATCTTGAGTTAACATATGATAAGCGCATACTATCTTCAAATAAAGAAGGAATGCCCACATTCATCAATTCGGTTTTCTTCTCATTTGGAGCCGCTGAGCACAATGACGTCAACATTAGCGTTCCCCAAAAAACTACTATTTCTCCATGCCGCTCATCTAAACCAACAGAAAGGGACTTGATAAGTGAACTTACGTTAGACATCTATCATGAGCTTGATGTCACTTCCTTATGCTTTAAAATCGTGCAGAATGTATGTAAACTAATTGATGCTGATCGAGGTTCTTTTTTCCTTGTTGAAAAGTCGCGTTCAACTGGTGAGGATGTTCTTGTCAGCAAACTCTTTGATATCACACCGGATTGCTCGTTGGAAGATGTTTTGCAAAGATGTTCTTCTAATCACATCACTGTTCCTCTTAACGCTGGGGTTACTGGTTACGTCGCACGTACTGGAGAGTATGCCAACATACCAGATGCATATGCAGTAAGTAATCGTTCCTCTAGGATTTTTGTTATTTAGTTGGTCAGTCTGAACTAATCTCAAGTCTTATAACACTCTTACACCTTTGCCAGTTACTTTCTCTATGCTTTCCGTTTTGTTATGTCCATCAATTGAATCCGGTTTTTTTCCAGTACTTAAGGAATATTTTATTGCAGATATCAGTAATCTTGACGAATAACCTTTATTAATGATTGGTTGATTTTTGTTTCCTTTTATTTATTACCAAATAGCTCAGATCTTTATGTTGAATTTCCCTAATTATATTACTGCTAACGTAAAAATAATGGTTCTTCTAGAGCCCACTAGAATTTGTACTTTGATATGCAGCCAAATAAAGATTTCAGGTAGATTGCCAAATATTGGACAATAGCTTCTATATCACGTTAGCGCTGCAAACGCGAGACGCGATAATAAGAAATGGAATGTTACTCAGTAACGAGTCATCTTTCCATGCAGTTGGCAACAAGCTACACCTATTATGTGAGACTTAGTGGTGCCACTTTGCTTTCCGAAACTAGATAGGTGAAGTGAGGTTGGAGTCGATGACTCTGGTTGAAAGTTAAGAGTCCATACGGATAAGCCACAAATATAAAAATTTCAATACAACCCAATATGATGTTTACGTAACCTTGGCATTTTAGTTTATTTATCCACTAAGCATAAGTTATTACCAGGTGGTGGGTCGTTGAGAAACGTATTTTAGTTACACATTCTTCTCATTCACTAAAGGGAGCATATTTGCCTATTCAGGTTATCATTTTTTTCCTTCACATTCCCAAGTGGAACATAGGGCTTCAAACTAGTGGCTTGAAGTTTCTGTAGCAGTGTTTATTTTACAGGATGGGGTTGCTAGCTTCATGCCCAACCTTTCCTCTTGACCAGCATTATTTTTGGCTTAGTGAGGTAAAGGAGTTATCATTAGTTGAGTAATTGTGTTGCGTTTTTATCTATTTTCTATACATAGTAATCAGTTAAATGTTCTCAAAAAGTGGTTGTACACTTAATATCTACACCACTTATGGTAGGTTTTATGTTAGCAAGATTCGTGTGCTCGTACGTTCCAATCAGATATTCATGATATCGAGTAGTGTGAGTGATACTAGGTAAACTGCGAACTTAGCATAAATGGTTTGGTCGATTGGGGACTGATAATTCGTACTTCCAGTCTAAACAGATTAGTCATTTTGAAAAATGTTAAGTATCATGCTATAAAAAATGCAATGCTATGTCAGATATGCATGAATAGTTCCGTTAGTCTTTTGGTAGATTTGAATATCACGCCACAAAAGCACTTTGAAAACATTTCAAAGTAACCAAGCCACCTTGTTATGTATGAAATCTTATAGTTATTTTTCTTTTAAAATAAATGTCTTTTGAGGAGCTTTCCGAATACTTTGAACAGGTTATAGTAACAGGGTATTTCTACGGGGTTGTGAGCGTGGTTTAGATCCCTCATGGCGTCCCCTTGTAGTACCTGATAAGGGTAATGTGATAGTTTCGGGTGACAATGTCAAAAGCCATCTCCGAAGGTTTGTATTCTTAGGGTGGAGGACCCTTCTTATTATGTATTTTTGAGTGGTCACGACTGATTTCTACCATCCAGTACTAATTACTGACCAAAAGACTTGTTTTGTGCTTTGCCTGCTATTAAATGGGACTTTAGAACTGCAGTGTCTACTTTTCTTAAGGGCAATTTCAATAGAAAACGGTTATCCAGAATGATTCGTGGAGGACAACGTAGAAGTTATACTAAAAAACGGAGATACATTTTTCAATTCTGAGGAAGACGTGGGTCAATTCAGGCTTTGAGAGTGACTTAGCCTGAAGAAGGGAATTTCTAACTCTCTAGAGAAAAATCTCTTCTCTAAGCTCTCGGAATATTTTCTGCCCACTCACTGTTCTCTAACAATCTGAAGGACAAGCTTCCACATTTAATCTTTTCCATGTAGATGTATCAAATCACCTGCTCTTTTAAAGCCGGGTATGTAAGTCGTTAGATGTGTGTTCCTTCGAGACATCTCAATCTGGATCAATCACTTAATGGTTGTGACTTCTGTATTGTGAAAGAATGTATAAAATTGTGATTGTGTCGTCATTGAGAATGAAATCTCTGATATATACTTCCTGCAGAACTTTTTGTGTTCTCTGTAATATCCTGATGAATATTTTCTGCAACGTAGAGTGAGATTGATTTGTAACAGTTGGTAGATACTGCTTGATTTTAAACAAAAAACGTTTAGACTATGTGTTGTGCTTTGTTTTGAATAGTTCATGTACTGCTTTGATAATATATATTTGTTGCACCTCAATATTATAAGAGAGTATTATGTACTAGCTCTAAGCCGTGACATTTTTAGCATTTGAGTAATGTAATCTTAAGGTTTCTGAAGGTCATAGAAATCAGATAGGTGTTTTGAGATTTTAAGTTTTACAAAATGTTTACGGGAAAAGATTAGCATATTAGTATCTAATGTTAACGAATAGTTGACTATGCGAAATGAAATGACTCTCCAGAGTTGTCACAGAAATTAGAAACAATGTTCATTACTGCAAACATTACTAGCATATTTAACCAGTTGATAGGTGATCATTAACATATCATGGTATTGTTTCCCTGGGGAATATACTAGATGGTTCAGACTATTTCGTGAAGCGATTTAGGCAGTGTGGAAATTAGAAGTGAAGATTTAAATATGCTACGTTGAGGTAGTCGTTAATGTTAACGAGATGTGTTTACGATCAAAATTTAAAAGTCTCAAATAGTTCACAGTCATGTCTGTCTAAGGAAGTTACTAAATGTTAAATATGATTATACGGTACGAAATTGTTATATTCACTTATCTCAAACTTGATAATCTTAAATGTATAAGCAACTTGACTATTTATAAGTTTTTATAAGAAAAATACAAAACTTTAAAGTAAACAGATACTTATCATTGAGTAATTGTCGCAGTGAAATTGGTTACTACTAACACTATGTAGTCCTACCACCTTCATATGATTTAACCATCTGGAAGTTCATTTACAAATAGTAAGTCTGATTTTTTCGGCAGTTGTGAGTTTTCTTGATTTTATAGACACGTTAACAGTAAGTATCGAAATGGAAAAATCCAGTTGTATAATTGCCGTTCAGTTATTCTCGCTAATTTGGTAGATTTTATGCTTGTTTTCCTAATTCGAATTTGGAAAATGAAGCTAGCATATTCTGTTAATTTTCGCATCAAAGTTATTCGAGAAGATTTTCATTTCACAACATGTTTCATCGGTTTCTTAAAATCTTTTTTCTTGTTTTATGCTAGGATCCTCGTTTTAATGATTCTGTTGATCGTATAACAGGTTACAGAACACATTGTCTCTTATGCATGCCTATAAAAAATGTCGATGGAAAAGTCTTGGGTGTTGCATTAGTCATCAATAAGAAAAAGTCTCTGGATCAACGACAGCGAGAAAATAACCAGGGTATAGAGCCAGTTCAGTCTACCAGTGATTCATGTGAACTGAAAACTAAACACGCCTGGTTCACGGACGACGATGTCAAAATTTTTCAGTCATATGTTGCTTTTTGTGGCATTGGATTACATAATGCCCAAATATACCAACAAAGTCGATTAGAAACTTATCGTAGTCAAGTAAGTATCTTTTGATCACTTCATTGGAGTAACTTCGGTTTTGGAAAAGTCTAAAGTTTCCTAAGGTAGTTTGTAAAAATCAACACCAAGTAAACTCTGTTTTAGTTTATAAGTATCATTATGAAGTAGTGAACTATGAAAAGTTGACAGTGGTAACCATGTCAACCTACAAGCGAATACGAGTGATAGCTAAGAAATGATAATCTAGTGATAACATGCATTTTATAAGTATCGCAACTGGTATCAATTACTAATACTTGAAGATAAAGATAGAGCCATGTGGAAATTTAAACCAAAAGAGTAATAATTAGTAAGATTTAGTGTGTTATTAATATTTTTACTGAAGTAAAAGTAATGCACACTCAACCTATTTTGAGATCAAACTTCAAATCTACAGATGTATTAACATATATTTCATCTTTGAGATGCTGCCTGGGAATGAATGGTTCTCATTTTTCATCTCTTATTTTTGTAAAACACCTTTCGCTGACTAGTCTTACAAGTGCGTAATTTCTTTCTTCATCAATAGAATGCTTTGTTTTTTATTTTATAGCAAAGGATATATGTATTTATTGAAATAAAACTTTATACATCTGTCATCCTTTCTTGCCTTGTCCAAATTCTTTTTTTTATATTCTTCTACTCATGATTATTTCTTCTACTTATAAGTAGAATCATGTGATTATTTCTAAAAAAGGTTTTTCATTTATTTTTTTCTTACTAACTGCAATCAATAATTCAAGTGCATAAGTGCAAGTACCATAATAAAACGATTAAAAGTGTAGTACTATGAAAATATGTAGCTTTCAATAGATATAATAGATTTCAATAGTTGGATTAGATTTGTTTTGACGAGTTGATCACTGATATTAATCCGTAATCAACTCGTCAAAAGATATAATAGAGATAAAAGTAAGTTAAGTGCAATTGAATTCAGTCTATTGTTATTTATCAGTTAACTGACATGGTTGTTTGTGGATTTGATTAAGTTTAAGAAGCAATTAGAGCCAGTGAGTATTGAAGAACTTTCTGCAGTGAAGTAGATCTAGCTACTATCATCCACTTTATACTTTTAGACACACAACCTTAGTAGGCTTCAGATATCTGTTGAATTTATGTTTCAGTGAGTGGATAAGATTTATATTCGTGAAGTTTTAATTGCTGATTTCTCATTCAGTGATTAAGTGCTTCATTTGCGCAGACTGCTGGTATACCTTGTTGATGATAGCTGTATTTATTTCTACTTGGTTTTCACTGTCTCTTCGAGTAATATAAGTTAAAACAATCTGCTCTGAGTTCAGCTGACTTTTTAGAAGAGTTAGTTAACTTCTATGAATACTTCGAAGTACACTATTTGTTTTCTTAAACAAATTTTGATTGTAGTATTTTTGATTTAGAAGAAAGTGGTAATTTTTTGTGTGGTAAACGTTTAGGTACACACGGTTTGCACATACCTATGTCATGAATTTTCTCTTTAAGCTTTTAGTCAAATATTCTATATGAATGACCATGTGAGATATTTTTCTTTAAAAAAATATTGATGATTCTTTTTCTAGCAGCCAATTATACACTTTAAAATCTTTCCAGGTGTGTTTCTAATCATATTTTCATTGTCTGTGAGTATACAGATGTAGGTTTTCTATGCGTGTGCTCAGCGTTTTGTTTCTGAACGTGTTTTGTTTTAGGTGATTGCGTTAGGTCTTACGTAGTAGATGTGATACGAAACAATGAAAAGTTTCTTAGTCAGTACTAGGTGGTACTTTCATATACCATAACGACTTAATACCACTTATCAAATGTGAATATGTAACTTTATTAGTTAGTTAACAGTGATGTTCACGCTGTAATAAATGATTCAGTCGTACAAGCCTCCTATTTATTTCTTTATGTAGCTTATAACAGCAAAAATGTAAAATACTTACTTGGTAATTTTTGTAAAGTTCACTAGTTTAATAAACTTGATTAAGTTTGATTGTGGTGTTGCCAACACTAGTGTCACCAATCAGTCTGAAAGCGAATGATTAATTTTCAGATGACATTCCTTAATCTTTCTTCCGGATGATTTGTATAATTCCTGTTATTACTGATAATCCTGTTAAGTAGCATATTATGCGCATAGATTTTGCTCAATATTTTAGAGCTATTTAATTGTGTGTACGTGTTCATAGCATTTATGCTGACTTCTAGAGGTGGTTAGTGTTTTCACCTGTTGTACAGTCATTACATCTAGTAACCAATGCACTGGACTACATCAAAATTTACAACCCTACTGATTAATTTAGCCTGATTTCCAATCATTTATGAAAGTTACACTTGAAAGATGGAAACTTATTATTTGTGAATAGTGCAAATGCTTTCAATCCAAGTAAAACTGACAGAAATTAGTGATCGCAATTTATTTTCAAGATTAACAACTAATTGAAGTTCATAGTGCATGCGACACAAATCATCGTCATCTTTACCGCAAAGGTTTTGATCTTATAGCTTCCAAGAAAAATTTCAGTTTTATGCGCTATAACGCAGTAAATTCAATCAAGGAGGTTCATTAAAGTGATTGACATCGTATGTGTGTTTAATAAGGTCACTGAATGCATTGACTCAATAATTTTATCCGTATATTATTGGCAGTTTATTGATTAAAGTCGTCATTCTTTCAGAAGATTTAGCGACTATAATTCTTGACTTATATTTAATTTGTGTTAGATTCATCTTAATACTCAATTATTTGAGTTTGAAACTTGCACAATTCAGCGTGTATATCTGTAGGTCATTTGAAGCGTCGATTGACTCTCTGAAGAATGGAATAAAATTCATGAATTAGCATTCCTATAAAACAATTCATCATACAGTTATTTGAAATGTATTGATTGTGTTGAGTTATTTGCATACTTCTGTAAGTAGCTTATGGTAATATGAAGTGTTTTTATGTAATATTAATTTCCGTCAGAAATTGTCTCTGTCATAACTGACCTAACAAACTCTCACAGCTTGCAGCTTTAAGCATAAAGTGTAGCGAACATACTTATGTGAATACGTCTGGGTATGTGCGATTTTATCAGCAGTCTTCAGATTAGCACTAAATACCCACAAAAGGTTTTCTGTATTCATTTCATTTACGATGACACACATAAATATTTCAAGTTCGACCATGGATTGATATCATTTTGAGAACGATTAAAAGCCAGGGAGCACTTGGCAGTTGTTTCGACCTAGCTCGAGACTCATCGGCAGCACTCAACTATTCGCTTTCAAGCCCAGGACCTTCCGATTACATGACGAGCTCGTAGACCACTCATTCACTGGGACCTGACCCAATTAACCATGAATCCTAAATTCTACCAGTTCCTGGTTTTAGCGCAACTACCAGCCGATATCATCGGCGAGTATTTGCTGTATCTCCGGATCGGATACACCCCACTGGTTAGGACTTCTTAAAAAAACTCCAGGCAACTTTGTCCTGTGGCCGGGTCACTAGCAAGCATCAGAATAACTTTCAAGAGTTAGTTTGTAGGAAATCTATGCAAATCTCTACCTATCAACTTCTCAATCTAATTTCACTGTATCTCTACATAATTTACTTTTTTCTTTCCTTTGTCTCCCCAACTACTGTTTTTATGCAGGTCCTCTTAGAACTTGCAAGAATCATATTCTCAGAACAACTTGATATTACTCGCCTTATCTATTCAGTATTATCGCATACTATATGTCTGTTACAATGTCAACGCTGTCAATTGCTCTTGGTAAGAACATGTTCTTCGTACATGTCATCCTACTCCTCGATTGACGAGGTAAGCAAAAAAATTTTTTTTACACAAAACTAGGTTCTTATTTTTTCTTTATAATTCTGATGAAAAACACAAATGGTTTCCAGGTCTAATAATCAACGTTTTCAGAACACTAAAGGTCAATGACTGGAATCTCATGTTAGTGTTGCCATAGTTCAGAATTTTTTCTACTCTGGTTGTTATCTGTGTACGCTAGTTCCCTTTGTTGTTTAACCGTCAGATGAACTGTTAGAATTAAGCAGTAATTCATTTAAAAAAAGGAATTCTGAACACATAACATATTTAGCAAACATAGATTTCGATAGTGTTACTGAAAGATGGAGTTTATTTGAAAAGTGTGGTATATTTTTGCAGTAGATGTCGAACAGTCTGACTACAAATCTCTACTTGTCAATTAAATTTATGTGTGAAAGTGAGAGAAAATGACAGCTGAAGTGAAATAGGTAAATTAATAAGGAACTGAGGAGTATGGAGGAGGATGAAATGTTAATGATTATAAAATCATTTTATTACATGACTAATACGAAGTTGTGGTACGTTTTCCAGGTAGACTTAACTCTGTGGAAAATCACATCAGCCTTATATCAGAGGAAGAAATTTGCAATTCACTCTCAATTTTTAGGCATAATCTTGATTTGAAGAGAAAACGGTTGGATAAAATCGTCGATTTACAAAAAGCCTACTTCGACGCGACATTGTTTGAACTTCTACAGCTGACACTGAATGCAATAGAAGTGAGACTAAATAAAATGTCTGTGTAAGAGAATTGAGCATATGTGTAGAGTCGATACGGTGGATGACAACAACAGACTATTGACTAATAAATACACTTCGAGAAAACGAATATGGTTTGGATTTCCTAATCAGTATAGAAGGCGCTTAAGTTGGATAGCCTATAGTTTATCTTGCCCCCAAAAAACTGTTTATACCAATAACCATACAAAAAGGATATACATAGTATGATTCTAAGACAGAGAAAAATTCTGTTATCTGTAAAACTTACTACTTAGCGCGGCATATAATTGTCAAGAAAGCCAAAACCGTGCTCTACGAGAAACCTGTACATTCCACAGGTGATTATGCCAAATCACATTTAAAATATTTAAGTCAGCAAAGGGATCTCTTTTCGTAATACTCTGACGATTTCATCAAATTTTGATACTATGTGTCCCACATATTCAAAATAATTCGTTATTTTTTAAGTAAATTGAAGAGTAACAACCTCCTACGCTGTCTCCACGATGGTGATAAACTAAATACAAACAACAGGAGTAAACTGACTAATCCATTTAAGATAGATTTAATTGACAGTGCACTCATTCTATTTAGAAATTGTAATCTTTAACAAATGGAATCATGATATGATCTAACTAAACGATATGACGACAACTGCTTACCTATACATCAGCAAATTAAAAAAAAAGTGGAACCAGATTTTGTGAACAAAAATTTCAACTCCCTTATCTTTCCCTTAAATTTTTTTTTGCAATTTCCTAAACAGAAGATATATGAGTGTTCTGTACCGTTTTTATCACAGCAACTGATAGTAACCAAATTGTTCGTTTATGTTTATCTGTATATTATTTTGTACAAAATGCTTTGCAAAAATACTGGCGCGTAATTAGCTTATTTGAATTGTATTTATCTGCATGATTTATTGTCATTCATTTGATGATTTTATTTCAATCTACTTATCTGATGTTGTAATGAAAGATTTCCTACCTGGCATGGTTATTATTGTACATTGTAAAACTTTTAGAATAGTGATTGTGTCTTGTTACAAGGGCTTAAGACTCAGATATATCTGATTAAGTGCACTATTTCTTTGTAAAATACATCGAAATTTCTCGCTATCAAATGCATAACCAGTGATTCGTGAACTCGAACTGCACATCACTCTAGGAAGTCTTTCCAAGCATACAGTTATCAATAATTTGAATAAAGCAAGAACAACAGTTTGTGTAGAATAAAAGGGTACCATCTTTTATTTCGTCGACTTCTCATCAGCTGCTTACAGTCCAAAAACATTGTTAAGTTTATGTACAGAAACAATTTTAACATACACAGAGAGTTAATTTTTAAACAAAAAATCAATATATGCATGAAGTGGTAATACTACTACTAATTATTATAATTATAATTATAATCACTTTATCCCAAACAACAATAATCACACGTGTCGCCGAAAATTCCATTGTGTATGATTATTATTGTTTGGGATAAGGTGATTATTATTATTACCACTGTATACTCATACAGTATATTGATTTTTTGTTTAAAAATCACTCTCTATGTAAGTATGTTAAAATTATTTCTATAAATAAACGCAATAATGTCTTTGGACTGTAAGCAAGTGGTGAGAAGTCAACGAAATAAATGATAGTACCACTTTATTCTGCACAAACCACTGTTGTTCTTGCTTTATTCAGATTCATAAAGGGGAACAAATGGATGAAGTTATCAATAACTCTTACATAAAAGGCAGAAGATATACTTTATTGCATGAAACTACCTACAGCTGTTAAGTCGCTTTTTTAAAATTCTGCCTTTCTTCCATTTAGTATTGTGTATGTTCGAAGTCAGTTTATTTCAATTTCTCTTATTTTAAATTGATTTGTAATAGTGATACAGTTGAGTTGAACACAGTTAGTAATGTATATCTTCCATTAAGATAGGGGATAAATTAGGTCACTGTCTACAGAAATTTGTATATTTTTGCTAACTGTGAGTACAAGGTTGCCGATAAGCTTTTCTGAAGAGAATACTTGTTTTTTGTTTATTCCAATGAAAAGAGGAAGTATCTTTGATTAATTACATGAAATGTGCGAATAGTAGTTGTCCTGTAGTTTTTCGTGATTGCTTTCCATCTTGTTACTAAGTAAAATTTAAAGTATGTGTAGAATTGATAATCAACGACTCATTTCTTATCATCTTCGGTTTCAATGGTTTAGATGAGGAAAGACAGCGAATTACTGAATACTTTTGTAGTCAGGCAAAAGAAACGGTGTGGCAGTATTCTACTTTCCTTATTGATCCGTTCATTCTTCTGTGTGAATTCTGTAGTAATAGTAGATTTCATTAGTCGTTATTTAACATGTGGGGTTACTGCCTATGAGTCTTTAGCTTAATGGCTTAACCTGTCAACTTTAGACCAATAATAATATTGTGGTGGGGAGTAATTCCCATTATGAATTGTTTTCCACTGGAAGGCATAGAATATTTCGAACCCAAGGTACGAAGTTGTCATTTTTTTTTTCAATAAACCATCATTAATGTACTGAATTTTGATACTTTTGCTGTCAGAAGCTCCCTACTACAGTCTCACACATTCGTGTTATTTGTAATGAACTGTTACGCCAATGGAGTTAAGGTAGGTGTGGTGTTAACCCGTGCTATCATCCCAATGTCTTGTAATTTTTTGAATGGATTTATGTTGTAAAGTTTACCTAATTGAATGATGGGGACACTTAATTCAGCTATCAAAATATTGTAAATAAACCCATCAAGTTTCAGGAATGCTTTGTAAAGGCGTTTTTATTCATTTCGGTTATTAGTTTAGCTGTCATTTCACTTTTTTTTTATAGTATTGTGTTTTCTAGACTTTTTCAGTTGTCCTCATTGAAATAAATATACTAAGATAAAATAAAGAAGATCAATTCATTAAGTTTAATCACTTTAGAGTAGATTATTTCAAATTTTTTTCTTCTTTTTTGATATGCAAGTTCATTAATTTTTTTAATTACTAAGAATTTAGAAAATTTCAAAATAGCATATTTTATTTATTTTGAAAGCATATAACATTGCTGTCTTAGTCTTTCCACTGCTGGCTACATTATTTCTTTCAGTCTCTCGTATACATCTGAAGTCTGACGTGTACAACCGACAAATTTCATTAATGGCAGCGACACACCTAAAAAGATAAACACTTTCAAATTGTTTTTTATCACTTTTCAATTGACATTTAAGTCAGTGTAACTGTGAATACAACTCCAATGGCTATACACTCTCACAATCTATGATAAAATATTCATCGAGTAAAAATTTTAGGCCAGTAGAGTAAAGTTATTTTTATCCACCTGTCTCAGCATAACTAGATTTCGATGTTCACTTATGTGATGCAAATTAATTAATTAATTAGGATTGGCATTGCATGTACGAGATATTGAAAGTGATATTGGAGAGAGAGTAAATCAAGTGTGGTAAATACACGCTTACAATATTTTTGTGTTTTTGTATCATGGACAACTTAGAATGGTCAGGTATTTAGGATAGTCCTTTAAAATTAGAAGTTCTTCAATGAAGATACTGATATGCGTGTGAACGATCTTTACCCAATATACAACCAACTGAAGATTTTTTTCTCAGCTAACCAACTGTAATAAAGTCATTTTAAAGTAAGATACCATATTAGATAGTTGGAGGCAGTCGGCAGGAAGCTTTGAACCTAGGTTTCGTGCTAGTTGGCACTCATCAGCAAGGCGTATCTGCAACCTTGAAGGAACTCATGTCCTTTCTGAGATTCGAACCCGCGTCACCCAGTGCTGCAGTCAGAGACGTTACTACTGAGCTATTCGGGCTCGCGATTGACCTCCTGTAGGACTGTAGTGGGTATTTTCATTGGAGACTAGTAACTAGTGTGACGTGTCTAGTCTTTTCTTTGGTGCAGACTGAATTCTATCAGTCAGGTTTTGCAATGTGGCCATAAGATACCATAAGGGAATTGAAGAATGCCTAAATTTCAAATGACATTTAATAATTCTAAAATTATGTGAATTTTTTTGTAGAATTTTTCAACGACTTATTTATTAATTTTTTTTTGTTTATTAAAGTCACGATTGTTTTTATTTCTGCTTTCTTGCCTATTGCACAGTTGAGTGATGTTTTAAGATCATCCAGACCGGAAGTCCTTGTAACATTTATCATTTCGTTAAACGGTTAAATTACCCTCTATAAGAAGAGAGCTATAGTAAGAGCTACAAATACTCGCAGTTTGCAAATCTTTG